AATGATTTTAGATGGGAATCCGTATGAAGCCATACGGGGGTTGTGGGAAGGAGCTTATGTATCTCAATTTGTTCGTCTCTTCCAAAAGAAATTTGGTTTTCCAAGCATAACAACCTGGGTGAGTAATTACCAGTAGATGTTAAAGCTGTATGTAAAGTACTTGACTGTAGTCTAGGCCTAATGTTAATAAAGAATGCAACATAACTAAAATGATATGTTTATAAGAACCTTCATTGTATTGATATTCTTCATTTGTGTACACGAAGGGAAAGTTAGAGGTATATTTTCTCTTCTATAATGTGTATTAATACCGAATGAAACATCTGCAGATGGTTGCTAAAATTGTGACCAAAAGCCGTGAGAAATAATTATAAGTAATGTGAAAAAAACCAAAAAAATCTTGCTCTTGTTTGTAAATGTACACACAAGTTCATCATACACATTACTATACATTTTTTTATTGCTGCAAGTCACTGTTTCCATACGTTGTAATATCTTTGCAGAGTTAAAATTAACGAGTAAAAGTAGCATGAGTGTCTGTTAGAAAAGTTGTCTTTGGGCAGAAAAATATTAAGTAAAGCACAACTCCACTAAAGTTAAACCTCAACCTGCTATAAGTTCCTGTGAAGGAAATGGAAAAATTGTATACAATTAGTCATTCAAACCAAACTAAGCTTAACTTTTTAATATATAGTAAAAACAAAATCCGGAGATCCTGTACTTTTTCATAATTTGAAGATTTTCTTAATAATAATAATAATTAATGACATAAGATGTATGATGTAATAATAATAATAATATAGAGTTGTGTACAATAATCACTTTCTTTGATTGTCTAAAAATGCAAGACTGTATGATGTAGAAATGGTGATTTCAACTTAATGGATTGAATATTGGCTAGAATTTAAGAGATCTTACTAGTGTTTAAGAAATATGTTATTCTTGTTAAGCTCATAAGAGGTATTTGATGCTTCTTTGTTCAGTAATTGTTTTCATATTGTAGTTTCTCCTGGTCGAATGATAAAGAGTATTTATTTATAATAGCTATTCAATTCTTCTGCTAAACTTGGGTGAAGTTTTTCTTATTTTTCACACACTCTTAATAAAATGTTGTATGAACTCTCGTGGCAGTTGTGTAATAGAGTGTTGTTATTGTCCTCTCGAATTCTGGCAAAGAAAGTGAAACAGTTATTTACCAATTTCTTGCATCTTCATTTCGGTATTCCCAAATATAGTTTTAATATTCAAATGTCAAAAACTTTTATGTTCAAACTGGTTGTGAAAATCTTCCTTATTGAGTAGCAGATGTATATTGATAAGTTGCTTAAAATTTGCATTTCAAGTCAGTTAACAATTAAATCAAAATAACATTGTTGCAATGTGCTAAATAACAATTTTTTTAGTAAAAGAAGCTTTAAAATAATAAAGGAAATTACATGTTAAATTTATTATAGCAAATAAATAAAACTCCATTTCTGAAGCTTGACTAACCCAACAATACAAACAAAATATTTATAAAACAACTTTATTACCTGCAACACCACCAAAAGTTTTAAGTTTTGAAATAGATCTGAGACCAGAGAAAGAATGACAGTTGTTATAAAAGACTGACTTTGTTCTTGGTGAAGTTGGGTGGAAAAGAAACAAGTTTTTTTTTTTTAAACATACCATTAAAATGAAATTTAATTGTTTAACCTTGAGCTGCAGCTCTTGCGTGAGGGAAGAGTGTTGAACTGAAGATCTTGGCATTGACAACATGAATAAGATCCTTGAGTTTGGAAGTTGGAACGTAGCCAGAACTGAGAAGCAGGGTGTGAGAGATCAACCACTGATCATTTCAACATATAATGAATTAATATGTACTTACTTTAGATAAAACAAGTGTACATCAGTTAAAGGTAAAAGGTGCATGTCAGTGGATTATGGACACTGTTAACTGAGATTATCGTAATGACTTCAAAGCTTGGTGATTGTAAACTTTCAAAATTCTAAGATCCTTGTTTTGAAGTTTACTCTAAATTTGTAGTAAGTAACTTCTTTTTTGAAGGTGAACAGAATGGATGAAGAAAATGATTGAAAATAATAGTATGTATAGTTTATATCTATGAAAGCACCATTCTATGGCTAAATTAAATCCTTTTTGAAATTGGGTTTCAAAATGACAGTTTTTTTTTTCACCATGATAGAACATAATTTTAGTAATAATTAGTTGTCTGAGAAAATTTAACTAGTTGATTTTTAATCTTGATCATCAGTCTTCATAAGACTTCTACCAGTAAGTGGTGTAGAATATTTGATGACATCCATTTTCTTGACTGTAAAAAAAAAAAAGGCTTTCAATTTAATTGCTGCCACTTGTGAACTTGTACATTAAGAAAATGTTAATAGTTTATGAGTTTTCTAGCCCATTTGCAGAACTTTTATCCCCCATATGTTAGCATAAGTAAGTTGCTTCAACAAGTTTGAATAATTAAGAGAACTTGAGGGGGGAGGTAATTATAGGTTGATGCTATAGTTTGATGAGAAAATATGAATTGTCAATATTTAATTTTTTTTCTGATTTTTAAATAAAATAAAAGGTATAAATTGTAACTAGGCAAGTGCACAAAAAACATTAAATTATTTAACATGAATTTACAAACCAAATGACAAAAATACACCAATGCAAAAAATGTTTATTAGGGAAAGTTTATAAGTTTTAAATCATAGCTTAACAAAAAAAAATTTTTGTTAATTTCTCAATATAAAATTTTCTTGTATTGCCAGAAGTGCAAATAAAGATCTGGGTGAAAATTTGGAAAATAGCAGGCAATCTTTTATGGAAAATCTATATTAAATATTTTTTATGTAAATAGATACCTGTCAATTTTAATTTAGCCTCATTCCTCTCTGTAAACTTGAGTTGATTTTTTTACAAAATTTTTCATTCCATTTTTTTCACACAATAAGAATAGTCATTTCACTTAATACTTTGGAAAGACTTCAGTGAATGTTCCTTTGTTCTACAGAGAGAGCCCTTCTAGGCATTGATAATAATGCATCCTTGCTATGACAGTTAGTGTGATTACTACATATTCTTCTTTGCATTCACTCATAAATTCTTAGAATTTCTAGTAATGCGTCCTTACTGCACAAGCAGTGCTGCCACTTCGTAGTTTATGAAAAATAGTGATTTTTTTGCTTAATCTCGTTTTTTTTTCATACTTATTTGACACATTTTGTTCCTGTTTTATAATTTTCTGTCAATTATCTGTCAGTGTACTTATCCAAAATGTCACTAGAGTGATTTTGTTACATGCATGCATCACTCTTAGGCCTACCTCAATTAGTACATGTAATGATGCATTATTACTAACAAGTGTTATTCTAGTCTTGTATGCAGGAATGGGTTGAGGGATGTGAAGAGGTGTTTACATTTGCTTGGCACCAATAGACAATTTTCGATCAATTTTCCAGGAACAAGGTATTCCAATGGTAACAATTCTTCTTAAAGTAGTTGGATGTTTGGTAAGTTGGCACAAATTTTATTCCTTTTTTGGTACTTTTGTTTTCTTTATTTTTTCTTTTGACATCTGAAAGCAAACTGTGGCAGCACTGCATAAGTTGTTTATAAATACTTGTTAAACTGTTGCTGTAAACACCCAGGTCTTGGAGATTTTCAATAAAATATCATAATGAAATATGACACTGTCCATCAACTTATTTTTCTGAGGATAGTTCCATTGAAATTTGAATTTTTCTTATCCATATATATCTTCATCTGTTTGACTGGTTATGCTAAAGGTGGTAAAGAAAGTTTCGTGCATTAAAATATTTAAATTAGGATGATAATAGAGTCACCACATAATTGTTATTCACATTGCCTTTATCTTTTTTTTTTTTGTTGAAGGGCAGGGAGGCTACAATGCCAAAGTAACCCACCACACCATTACTGTAAAGGATGTCAAATTAAAACATTCTTCATTTAATATATACACAACATATATCCAATGTTCTGAGCTAGGAACAAAATCAACTGAGGGTGTTAATGAAGTTGATTGGCATTTGAAATTATGGAACTGTTAAAACAAAGGATGTATTTGATACTGTAAACATGCAATCACACAACATACAGTTGTATATGTACATGATTTACCCATGGTTTCTTGTGAGAAACATACAACACTGGTTATTGTGTCCAATCTTGTGAAAGTATTCTTGCATTTTGAATTCTTCTGCTAGAAACACTGGTTACTGTGTTCTGTTTTTATCTGCAGAGTTGGACAGTTTAGTAAAAATGTTCAATAATCATTTCTTTAAGTCTACTAATGTACACTTTAAGAAATATGTTAATAAAGTGCCCAAAAAATAAACTTAGAAAGTTGAAGAAATATGAATACTTTTTAGCAACAACTTTTGTAACTGTGATAAGTGTAAGACTACAAGCAACCCTTTTGTTGTTTGTGCACTTTAGTAAGTAGAAGTTAAGGCTTATCTTAATAGTATGGTGTTGAGATAAACAGATAGTGTATTGTTTTTGAAGGTTGAATCTGCAGTTATTATTTATTCCTTTCATACAATATGTTCAGTGAACTTGCGATTAAATAAATGATTTTCTTTGTGTAATCAACATAGCATTAAGAGAAAGTACTACAGTGCTGTTGAAAGTAGACAAAGCTGTTCACAAATTAGAGTTGATAAAATTCAGGCATACTAACCTGATGAATAACAGAAATTTTGTGGAATACACTTTTTATTTCCTGTATTATTTGAATATGGAAAAAAAAAATTATCAATATTTATTGTACCAAACATTAGGAGGAGTAAATAACAGTTATTCTTATAATAAACCAAAATTATTGGTGTTAGTGAAAGCAGGAATAATAATGATGTAGAAAACTATTTAGTTGAGTAACTTGATCAATTTTAACACTTTTTATCATTTGAAAGCAACTTAAAAAGAAATAACATGATATAGAAGCTGTAACTAAGAGCCTGAGTCTCCTCTAACAATATCTTCTGATTTAAAATTTCTCAATTTTTGTGTGATTATTTATTAATTATTAAAATATTGGCCAACCTGGTCCTACCATTATTAATACGTTATAGTTTTATATTTGTACTGACTGAATAAGCAGA